ACTTCAGAGACCTCCTAGAACCGAACGTTCTTGAGCAAATAAGATGCGACGTCAGTACAGCCAATCCTCGTTATTGTAGTTCCAGGGATTAATTTTGTTTAAATATTTTTCATCAAATATCAAATATAGTCGACGCAATTGGTTGAACACTTGATCATTGTTTTTATACCCACTAACAGAGTGTCCAAAATACACCGTAGGTCCAAGAGCAAGAGTTCGCTGGAAATGAGCATTGCTTGTTTGAGTTAGGGCTTGCTCCCATCCCATCTGCTTCAAATAGGCGGTAGCTGAGCGAGCTTCAGCCTTTGTCACTGTAATTAAATTATACTTACCTCTGGATGTTAACACTTTTTTAAGTCTCTCGTAAATGATATCATTAATCATGCGAAGGGTACCGAATGGCGAAGAACCTACTCTCATCTCAACTGGACATATACTTCTTCGAAAATTATCGTCAATCACTGGCGGGTACATATAGTTGCATGAACACGGCAAAACGAACACATAGTCTCTTAGTTTGATAGGTGTGATGCTAAGATTGTTTGATATCAACAGATTAACTAAATTTTGATCAGCTGATTGTGGCCAGAGCTCTTTAACACGAAATCGTTTATCCCATTCGAGATAATTATACACCAACATTTGCTCCCATATTCGATGCCGACGATAACCTTGACAATCATATAAGGTGACACCTCCATTCAGCGTACCATTCCACATATGAGGCCAAATCTGAATAACGTACTGTTCGTGATGGTGATCGGGTGCTATGGCAAACACTGGACGAGGGGGGAACAAAGTATAATTAAACCGAATTTTTCTTATTGCTGTTATGTCGAACGTTATATTATTGCCTGTTCCGGACAGAACTGGTATACGAGGAACATTGTTTAAAATGGAAGGGCTGATCATCCGTTTTTCATCATATTCAGCTAGCTGAAACTGCTGAACAAACTGATAAAAGCAGTCAACATAGTAGCGCAAGGATCCATCTAGCAGTACGGCATCCGTATCTATGGCTATAACATAACGAACCGTTTCAGGTAGTATATGTGGTAATGCTAACCTGCATACAGACGGCAAGAAGCGCAGTAGAAAAACGGAGTCCTTGTATGGCTCAGTATATGGATGACACAGCGAGTAGTTGTAAAACGACACTTTAAAATATGTAGTACTAATATTCCAATTCAAAACTGTTGACCGCGCTTTTTTGATGAATTGTTCGTTAAGCACGATATGAAAATGTAGCGGAAATTGCCTTAAAATCAAGAAGTTTTTCATGACTCCAAGCATGTCCACAAGGTTTCCTCCATCACTAACAAATGCGATTTGGAACCACTCTGACTTTAAACGAAACGCTGAATCGATCGATACCACATTCGTGTGGACTACGGTCGACAATTGTAGATTAACAATAATAATCGCAATGACACAAATAATCATAATGAACGGTAGTTTTTTCAATACGAAGTATTTGTTGTACATAAGTGACAAAACAGTAACTAGATAAATGGTTTGAATTGAGCGCCACTTCATATACGCAGATGACGAAGTTGAATCGTTTTTGAAAAGTCGACGCCGGTCAGAAAATGCAGATGAGAGTCTAGTTTAAAATAAAACAAATCCGAACTCTCTCGC